TCCTAGAAATGGGCTTCTCTCAAAATGTGAGCTCTCCACTTATATTGCAGTCTCTGGGTAGGAAACAAGATGTTGATCCTGTCCGTATTTCCCCCCCCTCTTTCTGCTCTTTGCCTCTCACAAACCATTCAGCTTCCCTGGGCATCTGCTGCATTTAGGCAAACAGCTAATTTTTCCCTTTTGTTATTCTTACTACAGGGCAACCATAGATGAAGTGGAAACAGATGTGGTGGAGATAGAAGCAAAGCTTGACAAGGTAAGATGCAGCGGCTCAGGGGATGGGAAGGGCCTGAATTTAGGTGGACAAAGTTTAAGCCTTTGGCTTGACAGTATGGCCCCACCAGCTTGTTCAGAGAGGGACTGTGCTTGGAAAGTCAGGAAACCACTGTGTAATATACTGGCGTAGTACATATGATCACATTCTCCTTCTACTGGCTGCCCCAATCAGTGCAACTTGGTGATAGCCAAATTTAGCTGTTCGTTAGTGCAAGTGAATGAGGCTCTTCTTCTTAGCATGGAAGCATGGCTGTGTAGCTGCTGTGCCAGACTGAACCCCTGGAGATTGCCAGCTGTTATTGACTTGCTGTATGATGTTGAGTGAGTCATTTTGCCTCTCTGCCCTCCCCCCTATAGCCATCAAGGCAGGGACCATCTCTTACTACATATCTACTCCGTGATCTACTGCAATGGGATCCTTCTCATAGTCGAGGCCTCAAATAGAGCCGCTCTTGTGGAAGGGTCCTTGGTTCAGTCTCCAATGGTAACTGCCATGTCTAGCGGTTTGTGATTGTGATGGTCCAGGGAAAATGCAGAAAGAGATGAATGAACTTTTTTACCGGACCAAGCAATCATACAGTTGGGAGAAGATGTGAGACGAGCTTTTGGGCACAAAATGCTGTTCCTCAAGTATGGGAAAGGTGGCTGCATCTGTTCCCCAGACCTGAGGAAGGGCATAGCGTGCCCAAAGGTTGCTTGTCATTTGTTCCAGCTGTAAGATTGGCTCAGTAGAAGAAGTCATCAAACAAACCTTGCTCTTTGCATATATGTGGGCAGTTTTGGGTCAGGTTTGGTGCCAGGGATGGGATTCATTTGGGAATTGTTTTTTAATAGTATCTTATTGATTTTGTTTTCACTGTAGCAAATTCCTTAAGTCCACTTGCTATATTAACAATCACCCCCCCCAAATTCCCCTCTTTGAGAGGGCTTGTGCTGTCCAGTGTTTCGAGGCAAGGACTGTGATTCACAACTCCTGGTTCTGTTCTCATCTCTCCTAACAAAGCCTGACATACACATACCTCTCCATACCACTTTTTCTTCCATAAGTAAATTTAAGATACCTGCTTCATAGGTACTTTTATCAAGCTCAGCTTGATAATCGTGAATGCTTTGAGACTTGTGGGTGAAAAGCACTACAGAAATGCTCATTAGTAGTATATTTGTATAAGTGAGGAAGTCAGTGTGGGTACATATACCACTATCCTGTGCTGGATATAATTATAAAGGAGCTAAACCCGAGTGGCCAGACTCCCAGGCTGCTATCTTAGCCCCAAGAGCCACCTCCCCCACTGGAAGCCAGACTCTGAAGTTTGTTACTAATTTTCCCCCACTTTATGTGCACATGGCTTTGTAATTTAGGGCTGTGTTTATGTAACTCAGATTTGTAATACACTAGTGTACTGCACTGGTATTACACTCCATGTGCACAATTAGTTTACTGGGCTGGACTGTGCCTACTATTTTTTTTCCTGGATGCTGGGACCAGCATTTGATATAGAAGCATAGCAAAAACACCTTCATGTACGTACCACAAAGAATTCCCTGGATGTAACAAATAGATGCAGAAAAAAAACCCAAGTCTAGTCTGTGTCTCTTGACCCTGTCACTTTAAGATTTCCAACTATCTATCCATCTGTGCTACTACAGGACTTGATGAGGTCTCTGTCAGCAATTAGCAATGCAAAACCTTCCATCAGCAAAAAATATGGTTTGTAATATCCATGCATTTTGGAGTAGGGGACAGAGAGAGAAGTGCTGAAAGAGGCTTGGATCTCAGTCAAGAGGCTTACTGATGGAAGGCTGTTTTCCCACCCTGCTCCCCTCAAATATCTGAGACACCAGCCAAGATGTTTCTGAATGAGAACAGACGGACAGAACGTGGTGGAGGAAGCCGAGAAACTATTGCGTTCTTAGCAGAGACTGCATGCTGCTAGATGGAAAGGGAAATCCGGCACACGATGGGGAAGGTGGCCTGGTTTAAGCCACAAGTTCTCGGAGGTCAGCAGCCTGTGGGAAATGAATGGGTGGTTTTAGTCTTAAGTTCTCAGGACAGGTGTCTTCATGTGTTAGTGAACCCCCAGAGAGGCCCAGACTAACCATTCAAGTTGGTTTTTCAGAGACGGGGTCAAAGCACGTTAGCTGCCTAGCATGGGGAAAGCTTGTCTTAATGGAAGTGCTACTGCCATGGCTGTGGATGCGGGAATTTAGTTTCTTGGACTGCCCATCTGGAACCCTTCACTGGCACCAAGGTCAGGCCCAGAGCAGTTACCAGGGACTAAGTTAAACAGTTAAATACTCCATACATATTTTTGGCCAACTATGGGACAAGATCAGAAATAGATCCTACAAGCTTGGCATCGGGACAGATAAGGTTGACTTGGATCTGAAGGGTCATTGAACTTCAAAGCCATTTCACTTCACTTCTTTTTGGACTCGCCTCTTGATTTCAGCAAGATTTGGTCGTTGTTACATAGCACAGCACTCTGTCTAGATTTGCACATGCCCTTATGGTGTTTGCATGTTTTATAGTCATTAATGGAGGTAACCTGAGAACACACCTGTGTCCGCTCAAGTGCTTTGTCCTCGGTAACATCAGACATCTGCATCTGAATCAGGAACTGAACCTGCATTTCCTTACTCTAGTTCAGTGCTCAGCCTACAGTTGCAGTCTTCCTCTCAGGGAAAAATTATGGAATAAGGTACTAGTGTTCAGTGCAAACATGGGAGTCAGAACCTGACTCTTAAGATTGAATATTGAACTCTCTGAACTTCCTGTGGTTTGGTGGGTTTTTCAGTTTCTAATTGCTTTCTCCAGTTAGAGGCAGAAGCAGTTATTTCTAATGCAGTTTAAATACAGATGCTTCCTTCGCTCACATAGGCTGACCTCAAGTTAGCCTCCAGCTGTTGCAAACTGATTTCCTACCAGCGGTGCCCAAGCTTTCTAGTATTTCAGGAGTCTTTCCAAAGTGAGGGAATGCGATTTCAGAGTGTGCTCGGGTTGAGTGGCCCTCAGCTACTAGCAACACAGCCTTGGCTGTGCATGTGTGCACACAAGGAGGTATTTTAGAAACCGCCACGTTGCAGAGAAAGCTGGATTTCCTTTCCAAAGGATCTGTCGAAAGCTCCTTGAGTCCGTCTGGGCTCCAGATGCAATAGAAGCTGGATCAGTTTGTTTTCTGTCTTTGGTGTTGGATGGAGCACTACGAGCCTGCTAGCCTGTTCTGCTAAAACAACAGAATGAGAGAAGTACAAGAACT